TTACTGTTGGTTATTTTTTGATTTTAAAGTTTCTGACATTCAATTACATACTTATTAGCTGTATGTGTGTAAAAAAGCAGAAAAATAGTTGATTTGAAGATAAAGAGGGAGTTAAGCTTTAATAAGCTATTCTTTAAATTGGTATTACAAATCTGCGTCGCTGAGGTTACAAGTATGAGACAACTTGCTTTTATAAGTCATTCTGATTTTATCAATAGTTTGCTTACGTTGTATTTGCACAGCAAACAGCTGCCTAAAACATCGTACAACACTACTTGAAAACGGAAGTCTAACAAATTTAATAGAATTAACCTTATATTGGAAACTGGAGAGACGTAGCAGTCCCTCTTAAATACATAAACAGTGATCTGTTGAAGGAAAGAGAAATTTCTTCTCAGAGACGTTCTCCCTACCCTGCTTTGTTAAAAGTCCTGTCCCCTCCTCTCCTCTTAAAGCAACCAACAGTTCACAAAAGATTCTGCAAGCACAGAGCCCACCTTCATTCAGTAACCCAAGGTCCATTACAAGACAAGGCCTGAAATGAAGTAAATCTGTCAAATTGACTGCAAGGCAAGCATAAGCACAGGCTGATTGCACAAAACAACCACCATAAACTGTTCTCCCTGAATAACCTGGCATGCAGTACCAGGAGTGGGAGGCTATGCACTCACATAGGCCCTACAGTCTACTCTGCGGTTGTCTACTAAACACAGCTGTACTGCTACCTCCAAGCCTATCCTGCTCCCTGAATTTTCACCCAGTATACCCCAATATGATCTAATTGACAGGGGTGAGTCCTCAAGTCCCTCTCCAATCAAAACTGCTCCTTACAACAGGCTCCTCCTACCAGCCCACATTTCTTGCTTTAACATGGTTCAGCTTGTTTAGCAGCTTTCATTTTGTAATTTTAACTTTATGAGATTATCTCCCCATTCTTTGCATTATATTACTCCTAGAAGGTATATTGTCAGGGCTCTTGAATACCTCTGTCCTGCAGCACAAATCATATACCTAGAAGTAATATTTCTATAGGAACTGTGGGGGTTTTTTTCATATAGCTAACTACTCTTGACATCCAATTCACGTTATACATTCCCCATTTATATTACAGGTAATAACAGCATATCAATAGTCAAATAAAATGTGCCAAATGGAAATAAGACATAATATTTGCTTCTGTTTATCATGCAGACAACAAAAATGCCTGCAGGACAGAGGAGTAAAGTGTGTTAGGAGGGCTTAAGGGAAGACTAAGAACACCTACAAGGGCAATTATAAATTACAAGAGCAAGTTTATTAGTTCAGCTCTACAAAACATTAAAAAATGAGTTAAGTGCACTTTTGAGCCATAGAAGTAGGCTCTTTACTCATAAATAAGAGTTAAGTAACCTAAAAGAATTAATTCTTTTATATTCTGAGAACTCTGGGTTTGGTTTTTTTAATTCCTTTCCTAGTTTGTGTTCTCAGATTGTGCCTTGCTCTAATAACTCTTTGTGTATGGAAGCGTCTGCTGGATAAAACTGTACACTGAAACTTTGAGAATGGTTCTGTCATTATATATTTATGTAATGTTTACCCATGGATTCATATCCCAATTGCAGACTATACCTGGTATATTAGATTTGCTCAGTGTATAATTTGATGGGGTTGATAGAACCTACCTATTTCCACAAATTCACAATATCGAACCTGTGGACCAAACCCAACTCCAAAACTTATTAGTGGACTTCAATGACTAAAATAATCTTCACTTCCAAATTTATATGCATAATCCATCTTTTTGAGATTTTTCTTGTGAAAGAAAATACTCTTTCACAACCTCTAGTTGACATAACAAGACCAACATTGCATTTTACACTGTCTCTATAGGATAATCATTATTCAAGTGTGACTGAAAGGATTTCAAGGTCATTTGTATTACTTTGTATTCTTAGTCTATGTTGATTTCTCACTGTCGTGGTTTAACCCCAGCCAGCAACTAAGCACCACGCAGCCACTCGCTCACTCCCCCTGCCCCGGTGGGATGGGGGACAGAATCGGACG